TGTCTCTGACTCTGTGTAGAAGTGTGAGAAGCGGAGCTGCGACTCTTAGCAGGAAGCTGCAGAGAAACCGTCGTCTCGACATAAACCACTTCCTCTTGACCCGTTTCAGTTCACATCACACCACCGTGCTGATGAAGAGGAGCTGACATGAGGAAGAGCAGAACCTTCTGGATAATGAGGTTCTCTGCCGTCTGGATCCAACAGAACCTTTCATCTCTGGCTGCTCCTCTGAGCGTCTACCTGGTTCGGTTCTGTGCTCGGTGCCGACCCGCTCATGGTTCCCCACAAGGTGTGAACTCCACCCAGAGAGCAGCAGGCCACAGCAGAGTCGCTGCAGCAGTGCATTCTGGGAGACGTATTTCAGGCTAACTGGAGGAGTGCTGCAGAGAGGAGATAGAGATCAGCTAGCAGGAGTCAGAGGCTGCATACCAGAACCAGTTTGGACCTGCTGCTCTCTGCTGCGTTCCCCGCAGCTGGCACCAAACCTGAACCAGTCCAGACCTGAGACTAGAGGGACCATCCAGGGTCTGCAGACCTCATTACAGGAAGCTCTGACAGCATGAGCAGAACCAGACTGATTGGCAGGGTGACCTCTGACCCTGCAGCAATCCTCCATGCAGCTGGAAGCCACAGAAGGTGTGGCGCTTTGACTCACTAGTTTAGACAAGCTGCCATTAGCGGTATTCACGCCCCGAGGACATGTTCTGCTTCTGCTCCAGCTGAAGGCTAGAACCCAGCTCTGGGTGGCAGCAGGAAGCTGTGGTTCTCCGTCTGCGGAACGCAACGTTCTCCTCCTGTTTTCATTTAACATGAAGGATCAGAAAAAACAGCAACATCTCAAAGTGCAGAACTTCCTCAGACGTTCCGGCCCAGTTTCCACCGTCAGCACCAGTCAGCTCACAGATCAGAGCCGCACTTTCCATTTATGGAGCTGAAAGCAGAACCTGACAAGATGAAAGTCACCCCCCCCCCCCCCAGCACACACTTCCTCTGTAACGGTGAACGCTTTCTGAGTCAAGCTGAAAGGCAGCAAAGCCAGCGAGAGAAGAGGAAGTGGTGTCGATCATCTCACTTTACTGCAGCTTCACACTGTCAACCCTGGGGGGGGGGGTTATATAGAGATGGGTGTGTGTGTGTACCTGTCTAGCCCTCAGAGTGAGGACCATTTTTACAGTTTCACCATCAGATTGAGGACCAGTTGCTGCAAAAT